CTCACTCATTCTACTTCCACTTTATTATCCAAGACGTCGTGTTTTAGTATTATTATATCTTTCTTTATTTATTCCTTTTTCGACCGACATGAACCGATCGAGAAAGAAAAAGATGGAGAGAACAGAAAAAAAACAGGTTTTTTTTTTTTTATACAACGGATGACTTAAGGCAATAACAAACTTCCGAAACGGAACTCGATAATAATAATAATAATATTTCTAACCTAGACCCACAGGAAATCGATTTATTTATTTATTTACGTTCAGCAATAATTACTTACACGATCACTTCTTGTTAACCTCGACACATTGCTTGACGGTAAAAAAAAAAAGTGAAAAAAAAAAAAAACAGAAAAACTTGTTATCGCGGGTAGAAACCAAAAAAACAAACTAGCCTCGGGTTTTTTCCGAAACGAAACGAAAACCCAAAAAAGGTATATAAAAAAAAAGTGGACAAACGACAAATGGGAAACAAACGGAGAGAAGGAAGAGAATCGCGAATATAAAAGTAATTCGAGATTGTGTGGAAGAAAAAAAATCGGAAATGTTAAATGACGCCCCTTCAACCTTACGAATGTGCATTCGAAGAAAAGAAATCAAATACGACAAACATTCGATACAAACAACAACAACAACATCCAAATCAAACTGGACCAAAGAGAGGGAGAGGGGAGATGGGGTGGAAACGTGTCACGAAATATTTTCATTGTTTTTTTCTACGTAAAAAAAAAACCGACTCGGATTTCCTTTTCGTTTTAACAAAAATAAACAGGTTCCGTTTTCTTTTTCGACAACGACAACAACAAACAACAACCACGGTTGACGTCCTTTCCGAAAGCAACGAACTAGGTCATATTCTCCGTAATATTACGGAATATTAAGAATATAAGAGTGTAAAAAACCAAAGGGCGGAAATTTTTTTCGAGGTCGAAAAAAAATGTTCAGAACTTTTTTTTTCGAAAAAAAAAAAATAAAAAACGCAAGCGAAAACTTTTTTGAGAAGAGACAAAATTGTTACGCGCGTTTTTTTTTACGCGCGAATATTAAAAAAAAAAAAGAAATTAAAATCATATGTAGGTCTAGTTTAAGTAATAATAATAATAATAATTGATTTTCACTTGGCGGAATAGAAAGTATATTTTCGCGATGATGTCTGAACAGGTGCCTGAACGGTAAAAACCTTAAACGTTGATATCATCCTAATCATCATCATCATCGTCGTCGTTAAAAAAAAAGAAAAACACGTTGGTTGTTTGTTTGTTTGTTTTTATCTCGAAGGAATAAAATTAAAAACGATTGAACTCGATTTTCGGTTGTTACTTTGGTACAATAACATATGACCGATCGATAAATCGTGTTTTAAATACGAATCTTTTTTTTTTATCGCACGGCAATAATAATAATAATAATAATGATGATGGCCGGTCAATCATGTTTCTTGTGCCACTAAAAATTTTCTCGAATAAATAAATAAATAAATAAATTTTTTTTCTTTAAAGCGGCCATTTTGAATTTTAATTTAATTTCAACGCACCTGAACACATGAATTCGCACATTTTATTATTATTGTTGTTGTTGTTTCGAAACTGGCCGTAAGTTTGCCAACATTAAAAAAAAAAATTATTATTATTATTATTTTTTAAACGTTTGGCTTCATTGTTTAACGTGTCAGCTACCCAATACCGCCGACGCCACTACCGCTGCCACGATTAAATTTTTTTTGAATAAAACAAACAACAAAAAGCGTTTGTTACAAAAAAAAAAATTTTGCGTTTGTTTATTTTTTAATATGCGAAATTTGTCGTTTCCCTCATTTTCCCGTCGGAAAATTTTTTAACAAAAATTAAACCTCACACCTCCCCTCCCTCCTCACCATCTCCCTTCCCCCCAATTTTGTTTGTTTTCTAAAAAAAAAAAAAAAGAAAACAACCCTTAATAACATTCCTTGATTTTTTTTTTAAAAACTTTTCTCGAATTAAAAAAAAAACGTTTTATTATTATTATTATTATTATCCTACCGATAAAAATTTGTCGTTTATAAATTTAATAATAAATAAACAAACAAACAAACAAACAAACGTTAATGATTCTAATTAAATTACAATTCAAACAACCGACGCATTATCGTATACGGACAAATAAATGACTTATTATTATTATTATTACATTTTTCTTTTTTTTTACTTACCTTTACGACTCGCAATTGTTATTATTATTATTATTTAAAAACCGAATCCATTACTCATAATAAACAAAATGGCGGAATGTTTAAATCTTACCTGTAATAAAAAAAAAAGAATGTTAATAATAATAATTAATTAATAATAATAAAAAACTTTTTTTTTTTTTAATAAGAAAAAACTTTGATGCCAATTTTCTTTTTTTCTTTTTTTTTTATTACGTTACGTGATTAATTAAAACACTTCGTAATCGACAAACAACAAACAACAAACAACAACAACAGCAGGAGCAAAAGAAACAAATAATAATAATAGAAAAAGTAAAAAAAAACGCATCGTATAAAATGAATATATAAATAACCGGATATCGAATTAATTATATATGTATATAAAATATTTATATACGCGCATACTCATTTCCGGTGATTTTTTTTTTTTTTTTTTAATAATAATAATAATAATAATGAAATTTTTTTATACGTTTCCGGTCACGGATTATTTACTATTGTTGTTAATAAATCGCCATTTATTTATTTATTTAATAAACAAATTATTATTATTATTATAAGAAGAAGAAGAAAACGCGGGAATTAACGACTACTTAAGAATTCAGTGTCGATGTTAATAATAATAATAATAATAATATTTATAAATTTAATTAAAATTTTTTTATTTTTATTTCAGACGACGTTTTTTTTTTTTGCTACGGTCAATTTCAATTTGATTTTAACGACAGCAAAAATAAAAAATAAAAAACATTTTGACCTTGAATTATTTTTTTATTTTCGAAAAAAAAAAAAAAATTTTTTTCCTCGTTGCTGTTGTTGTTTTTTTTTTCTAATCGGTGAAAATTTTCCTTTCCCCCTCTCCCCTATCTCCCTCTCTTCCTCTACGATTTAGGTATAATTATTTTTCCTAACCGGAAATTGTAAATAATCGATAAAAAATGAAGAGAGAAAAAAAAAAAAAATTTAAAAAAAAAAATAAATTTTTGAACGAGGAAAAGTGTTTTGATAAGATTCTGATTATCGAAAAAAAAAAAAAAAAAAAAAAGATGAAGGAAACGGCGATGATGATGATGACGTAAAAGAAGAAGATGAAGAAGAAGTTGGGAAAATTGAAAATAAATGAAAAGCCAAAGACCCGAAACTCGATACTCAGCTTATGTAACTGAAGAGTTAAGGACGTAAAAAACGTTTCCAAGTATTTAAATGGCGGAATTTTCATCATCACAATTCGGGCGTCGAACCCAAGTTGTCCTGGCAACCGTCCCAAGGACAACTTCTGCAAATATATCACAAACAAACACATACGTCTACGTATATATATATATATACCGATCCCTAATAAAAAGAAGAAGAAGAAGAAAACAAAAAAAAAAAAAAAAACCCTTCGGGGGGGCAGGCAACAAACGACAAAAAATAAAAAGAAGGAAGACGAAAACGACTAATGCGATCATAATAATAATAATAATAAAATCGAAAATAAAAAACGAGGGGGAGGGTGAGGGGAGGGGAGAAAATATCGGGAAACTTTTTTTTTTTTCGCAGCAACAAACGGGTAAATCCCGTGTTTGTTTCTACGACTACAATTTCGCTTTAAATCTTTTCCTTCATAATTTTTTTTTCTTTTTGTTGACCGACAGGAACAACCACGAGGTAGGTTTGATTCGTAAATTTAAAATGGCGGTTAGGAACAAACAGTAAACGTAAACAAATTTTTGCTGTCATAAAGACCAACAATTCTCTCGAACTTTCCCAACAATTTTCAAACCTTTTTCATTTTTTGTAACGTTTCAGGTAGACTTTTGTTTTTTTTTTTTAATCTATTTAAACTTTTTTTTACTCTCCTACCTTAAACGTGATGATGATGATGATAATAATAATGAAACAAACGACGTTTAAGAGTAAAAGGGTCGATGGGAATAAATGAAAAAAAAAAAAATCTCTGAAACGGTCATTTGAACCAATTAAGGCCAATAAAAGGGAGTTAAATGGTCTGTGGGACTTCCGTCTATAACAAAGTCCTTGATTAACGCGGATTCAAGGAGAAACCTATTAAATTTTTTTGGGAACTAAACTAACACACGCAATGCAAACCGACCAACAAACAAACAATATTTCATTTGTTTGTTTTTTTTTTTTTTTATTATGATACGACCTTTTCGTGAAATTTTTTTTTTAAAAAAAACTTTCATTTGTTTTTAAAGGGTTTTATTTCCTGTCGTCCATTCACAATTAAAGGGTTGTTAACGAGGGTGAACCTCGACCTACGTATACGATAATCATTCTTAAAAGTTTCGATCGATCGAATAAATTAATAAAAAAAAAAAAAAAAAGGTTTGATATCGTTTGTAAAAAAATTTCCCTTTTATTAGGAAAAGTTTAATGAATGAAAAAAAAAACTTTTCCGTTGCGTACGACTAACGACACACAAGCGACACCTAACGGATTTTGTTTGAACTAAAACAATAAAGAGCGCTCTATCGGTTGCGAATGAAATTAAAAACGTAAAGAAAGGTCATGATTTACACATTGAAAATGTTTATGAATGGAAAATTTTTTTTTTAAAACCATTTTGAAATTTAAATTTTTTCTTTTTGTTTTTCCGAACAAAAAATTTATTATAAAAACGTTTCGTGATTAAATTTTAAAATTTTAATTAATTGTTTCCGTAAATTTTGATTTATTCACGCTTTTTTTCATCATAAATTCAAAATGATTTTTTTTCTTTTTTATTCCCCTTTCGAAAAGTAAATCGAATCAAAATACGAGAGAGAGAAAGAGAGAGAGGGGAATAATCGATAGGTTTGATTGACGTTCAAAGTTTTTTCTTTCCTTTTAAAAAAAAAAAACAAACTGGAAAATCCAAACGAACAAACCTTTAACAGCTGGACGCATTCCATGAGTCCTTGTATGAGCCCCAGATGAGGCACTGGTATCGTGACCACCGTTGTAGTTTCCGTTGTTGTTTCCCAAACTTCCGGAAACAATTGATGAAGGAGATGATAATTTTTCTGGAATAATTAATAACAACTTTTAAAATTCACTTTCTTTTTTTTGTTTTGTAAAAAAATTACAAAATAATTCATATAGTTTTATTTTTATTATTCTTCTCACTTCTGGAAAATTCCCTTTTCCAGTTCCTGTTTTCATCGTTAGCAAAAAAAAAAAACCTTTTAATACTCACCTGCGAGTAAAGGATTAGCTGCGGCGATGTTAAATTTTGCATTTCTTTGTCGCAATTCGTTTAATGCTTGTTGTGTCGTTAAAATATTTTTATTATTCGATGTGGTTGTGCTGGAAACATCTGATACTATATCATTATTATTCTCCTCCTGGAAAAATCAGTTTTTTTATTAATACAAATTATTTAATTCCTTCTTTTTTATTGTTCCATTATCCGTTTATCTTCTGCTTTAAGACTTTTATGAATATTTTAGAATGTAAAGATTACGTTCGAGTCTTACATACATTTTCGATTGTTGTTGTTGTTGTTGTTAAGGGCAACAGTTTTCAATAAGTGAAAGGAAACTCGTTTAAGTTTAAAAACAACTCGAAGTTGTTATTGTTTTCATTGAATTTTCAAATTTTTTTTTGTTAGTTATTTAACTTAAAAAAAGATAATCGGAAAACGAGGAAATTTTGTTTTTTCACCTACTTTTACTTCGACTCCGGCAAAATCCGTGAGAAACGTGTCGAGTTCCAACGAGCAACCCAATTGATTAAATAATTCAACATCAACCTCGCTTAAACTGGACTCCAGACTGGAAACGAGTCCCGTGAGATCTGATTGACTTAATTCGGGAGGTTCCTGCTGTTGATTTGTCGTTTCCAAACATTGATTTAGATTTAAATTATCAATTTTCGTTTCGGCTTCTGGCGACCTGAAAATTTTCCCCGTTAAATTATTTTTATTTGTTTTTATTTTATTTTAAATTTGTTAATCCATAAGTGATAGAAAAAAAAAATACTTCATGTATAATAAAATGAATAAATATATAAACAAAATAAATTTCTTTTTAACAATAAACGCCCGTAAATTTTAACTTATGCTTACAGCATTGCGCGAGTGAGTGCAAACAAATTTGCATAGTACTCATTTTTTAAGGCGTTTGCCAACTTGGTTTTTTTTAAGTTTTCAATTTGTTAACTTATGAAACCTCATTGGAAAATTGATTATAAATGATTTAAGTCACAATTATTACTATTATTATTATTATTATTCTTTTAATTTTGCTATGAATCTGTGACTTTTTTTTCATGTCGACCCGACGGGTTACGTCGACTAATATAATTCAAATAGGTATGTATATATTAATAATCATTAATACTTACCAGAGGAGATCATCGTCAATAAAAGGCATGCTCGGCACAAATGCCGCAGCATTTTGATAGGGGCGAAGCCCCAAATGTGCGTCCGCCAGTTTGATGTGAACCCGGACGCCCCTCCCCCTTTCTATGTTTAACCTACGATTATTATCTGACTGGATTTAAAACGGGCGATATGGACAAGGTACGAGCGATGTCGCGGTATTTTTGAAACTTGATCCAAAACATGTAAAAATTGTGTATTGGCCCGCTGGAAAAAAGAAAAAAAACAACAAATTAACAACAAATTAATAAAAAAATTTCAAAAATTTAATAAATAAACAAACAAATTGAGCAACCAAATCGATAAATTGTTATAAAATTTTTTAGGTATAAAAAAAACAAAAAACAAGAAAAAACTGGAGAAACAACCGAAACAACCAAACAAAATAATCGCAACAAATTTTTGACTTTTTAAATAACTCTTTTTTGAAATTAATAATAATAATAATAAAATCAAGATGAAAAAAAAAAGATAATAATGATAAAAACTAGAAATTTCTAAAAAAAAATTATTTAACGTTTGTAGAAAATTGATAATAACAACAATAATAATAGAGTTCAATGAACTTTTAGCAAATTACACCAAACCCTGGAACCAGAAGATTCACTTTCGATATCTGATATAACGTTGTTGTTGTTGTTTTTTTTTTTTTTTTTTATCATTTGGCTGGAAATAAATTTTACGAGTTAAAAAAAAAAAAAAAAAAAAAAAGTGAGAGTTTAATGACTGAATCATCACTTTCCCTTCGAAGTCGACGCAAATTGCCATTTCGGTATACTTTTCTCATTTCTTTTTTTTTTTTTTTTTTTTTATACTCGAGTGAAAGTGAAAATAAAAAATCTTTTTTTTCCGTATATTGTTAATAATTTTAAATCGCACTAAAAACTAATAATTATATATATAAAAAATTTTTTTTTCGCCAAAATATTTCGTGATTTTTTATAAAATTCCTATATCGATTTACCTTACGGACAAATAATCAAAATAATTAACCAATAAAAAAATTTGAATTGTTATAAAAAATTCAAATTTTCTCTTAAAGTAAAAATATTTCCTCACAACAAAAAAAAAAAATAAATAAAAAAAAAGTTTTCTCTTTATAAATTACAACCGTTCTCTAAGGGTTTACAATAAGAAGTAAAGCAAATAGCAGATGAACAATGATAAACGCGGCAAATTTCACGCGGCAAACGCATTCGTTACAAAACAAAGTAAAAAAATTTAAGTTGTCATCTTGTTTTCGTTAATAAAAACGAACATGGACGATAAAAACATTGATGATGGCGACGGCGATGATGATGATGAAGTAATTAATGTTAAAAGTGAACGTTTTAATCCGTTGGAAGCATTATATTCAAAAAGGTTAATCGTTCCTCTCCCTTCTGCACCGGTGTTAGATAATGTGGCGAAAGCGAATGCGTTATTATCTAAAAATTTAAATTTAGATACCAAGGCAGGTTACGTTTCCATATTTGTTTGAAGATTTTTTTTTAAACTCTTGATTTTTACATACAAAAAAAAAAAAAAAAAACTAATAAAAAAATACATAAAATAAAATAAAAATCTCTCTCGTCATGCTTTTGCAATATTTGCTTCGAGTTAAAAAAAAAATATTATAATAAAACTAATAATAATAATAATAAAACTTTTATATATAAATTCTTTTAGGCTAATTGTTTTCAATATATAAAAAAAAATCCAACTTGATAAATATTTCTTTTCTCTTTTTTTCTCATTATTTTTTCCTAGTAGTTTAATGTTTTAATTTTAATAAAAACATTTTATTTAAATGACATTTATTACTTTTACAACTATGATTTATTATAATTGAAATAAATAAATAAATAATTACTTTTTTTATTGTATTCTAATAAAGAGATTATTTGCACAATATCGATATTTATTATTTAAAATTTAAATGTAAAATTTTTTATGTTTCAAACAAAATAATATATTTTTATTATAAGCAGTAGACAACTGGATGATGCTTCAGGTATCGATAGCATTGTATACAATCTCTATTCAATTTAATAAAATAACTTTCACTTTTATTTTCTGTTTTTTTTTTTTTAATTAAAAACAAGTTTTTTTATTATTATTATTATTATTTAATTAAAACAACAAATTATTTTAATGAGTCTCTTATAATTTTTTTTTTAATTCTCATATTAATAATTAAAAAAATGAATTTAAACTTATTATTATATTATAATCGAGAGTGATATTCAAATTCTCGGTATTCTTTTAAATCTTAAATTTTAATATTTTTTTTAGTTTTCATTTTATAGTTTTATTAATTTTAAAATTAGTTAGAAAAAAATAAATAAAAAGAACCAAACCAACAAACGATTAAACGATAACATAAAAAACTGATTAATTAATCGAAAATAAAATTGTTTTAGATTGTTACGACAAGTAAAAAAGAAAAATTAAAAACACAACCGCAGACAACATCGAAAGATGACAGAGAAGAAAAAGTTAAAAAAGGTTTGTTAATTTTATTTGTTTATAATTTTTAGAAGTGATTAAGAAATCATGTTGAAGTAACTCAGATTTTATGAAATTTTTTTTTTTTTTTTTTTAATTAGTAACAAAGTTAATGAATAGTAAGAATGAATTATATCAAACCTTTAGTATTCTTCATCAAGACAAAAACAACATTTCTAATAGATGATTTAATAGTAACAAAATAACCATTTTTTCTTTTTCTTTTTGTCTTAAAACCATAATGCACAATAAAAAACAATAAAAAAAAATTGTAACGAATGAAACGAAAAATATTATTCATATATATATATAGTTAAAAATAAACTTATAAAAAAATGAAACGAATTAAAAAAAATGAATTTTTTTTGCATTTATGTTTCGGTTATTAATTTTTCTTAAATGACGGCGAACGTCGTTATGAATAACGGTCGGTAAAGCAGACGACGAATAAAAAAAAAATGTAAAATGAAAATTTTGTTTATAGATGGCAGTGTGTACGTCTCGCGCGCTTTTTTTTTATTTATTTTCTTATTTTAATGTTTGAGTTTGCGTTTGCGTTTGCGTTTGAGTTTGCGTTTGTTTTCGTTTGTTTTCTCGTTTTCTCTCTTTCTTTCTCTTTTTTTTTTTTTTTTGTATTTTCTAAGAGACGACAATTATTAACAATCCGACAAAGTCATCGTCCGTCCTTCACTCAGTTGCAGAGTTAACATCAGTTAGAAGTTATTGAACTCGAACGTCGATGAACCCTGCTATATTACGAGATTAATGATTTCCCATCATCATCATCATCTTCCTATTTTCTTTCTCTTTTCAACTCACTTTTTTTTTTTCTCTTTCTTTCCATCTTTTTTTTTTTTTTTTGTTTTGACTTTATTTCTCGTTTAATGTTTGTTTGAACAACCGAAAATGTTTTTTTTTTAACGGTAGCATGTTTGTTCGTTCGAACCGTTCGTTTTTTTCCCGCGCTTTTAATAATTATTCAACCGTTTTTTCTTTTCTGTCTCTTTTCTTTGATGATTGAATTTAATAATAGAAATTCATATAAAAATGATAATAATAATTATTATTATTATTACTATAACTAATGTACTTGTAATTAACAAAAAAATAAAGTGGGGAGGGGAGGGAATTGTTTCGATGTAAATTTCATTTTTGTTATTTTTCTTATTCGTTCTTTCTTTTGACACGATATTATTGTTTATACTAAATCCACTGCATCTACAAGTTTCTTCGAACTTTTATTATTATTATTATTATTATTATTATTATTTTTCAGGTTTCGTTTGTTTGTTTTTCAAATTTTTTTTGAATGTTTGTTTCGCGTGAATCGTTTTAAACGTTTCCCTAAGCTGGAAAAAAATTTTTTTTTTTTTCAATTTTTGGCTCTCGAACAATAGTAATAATAATAATTATAATAATAATAATAATACAGCGTGCGTAGTATTAGTAGTAGTATTATTATTATTTATTTATTTATTTGGCAGTTTCATTCCCGGAAATACTTGAAAAAAAAAAAAAAAATTAAATCTAAGGCCAATATTGTAAATAAATTTTCATGAATTTTTTTTTTTTTTTCGTTTTTTTTTTAACGGGGAGCTTTTAAAAGCTTTTAACTTCCGTTTCCGGAAAATAATAATTATTTATACCAAAAGAACAAAAAAAAAGCAACGAATTAATTAATGCCGACTGGATTTAAAAAAAAAAAAGAAATATCAATGACAAGACATTGAAAAATTTTACGCGGGTACCTCGAATTTTTTTTTTTATTTTTTTGATTTGTCGTCGTTTTTATAATTCGTCTCGTTAGTTGGTGACTCCCCGTGTTTTCCTTCCTCTCCCCCTTCCTTCCCCCCTTTTCCCGCGTAAATTTAAATTTTAAAATTCGAATTTAAAAAAAAAAGTATGGTTGTAAAAAAAACGTCATAACATAGTCTCGGCTACGGTTACGGCCTTGTTGCTTTTTTTTTTTTTTGGTAATGACCCATATCTAAC